GAAAAAATTTTACTCGTCATAAATGATAAATAGTTTGTCAAATTTTTATTCATAAAAATGCAGTTTCGACTGCTTTTTATTTTATAAAATCCGTCTTCTTGCGCCACCAGAGGGCCTTTTAAACAATAGCTAGTCTGTTAGCGCTGGTCAGTAGTAGTCCAAATGCAATACGAACGTTTGTTTCTTGAAAATTTGATCACGATTTAAATACAGTATTTATTTTTAATATTACCAATATGTCATCGAAAAGAAAACGTGTTGTATTATCATTAAAAGACAAATTAAAGTATTTGTTTCGATTATCCGGATTTTTCCTTATCCGGACTACCTTCATCCCCAATTAGTCCGGATAATCGAGGTTCTACTGTACTTCAAATTTTTTACATTTTATCTATTATTAGCATTTTTTATCTTTAAGAATACTGATTAATTTCTAAGTTTGTTCTATATAACTTATAAATAATAGAGAAAGCAAGAAAGAGAATTTATTTTTCCTCCTTGATTTCGAATTGTGACGAGATAATGAATTAATAAAATCCAGCAACAAATTACGTAACTTTCCTGGCAACAACATTTAAAAATTGTATAGCACCATCTTTAATATTTTCTTTAAAAACTTTTTATATTATTGAGCTGTAGTTTGAAAAAATTGTAGACCTATAAATTTCTATTGTGGTCTGTTTGTCTGTCCTTCTTTAATCTCGAGAACGAAGTTAGATGAATGTCCAGACCAGATATGGAAAGCTTAGGGGCACGAGGCCCTGACTAACTACTCGTATATAAGAACTTCCTGTGTGCACCGAAAGTCACATCGTTTCAATTCAAAAATTTTCCTCTGAAAGGAGTTAGATCTACAGAACAAATGCACAAATCTATTGCTAGCAGGAAAGTATGATATACAGGGGCAAAATACTACTAATTTGAGGTGGAAAGCATATATTTTAAATTCATTAAATTAAAAATTGCAGCCCGGTATTGTGGGCGTGTCACAATAAATAATTCTCGTTAATTATTATAAAATGGCAAAAAGCTTAATTTTGAAGGTACAGTAAAGACGAGTTTTATAAAATTTGCAAATGTTAATAACGAATAAAATCTTCATAACAGCCAGAAAAGTAAAAAAAAAAATGTGTTTAATTTTCTAAATTTCGTACTATGTGCAACGAAAAATAAACTGAAATAAACTTAAATTTATTTAATATTTTAATAATTTGACTTAATTTTATTTTGTTTACTTCTCTTGGAAATGATAGTGCTTCGAACCTGATCCCAATAATAATAGTGGATAAGCCCAGGGCTAGCGCGTCAAGTTCATGCCTCCTTTTTTGTAGTTGCCGGTAAGGGCAAAGGAAGGGGCAAGAACGCTTTTTTTTATAGAGGCGTGACAACAGAAATGAAATAAATAATCGCACATAAAATATTACGAAAAACTTTATTACAGACAAAAAGTGAAACTATTCTCACATAAATACAAATACGTAATAAATGTATTTTTAAAAAATATATTAAAAAGCGAAACATTGTATGAATCGACTTCTAATATCGTCGAAATTTTCTGTTCAGTCGATAATACAGCCAATTATGTCCAGTGGCGTAGCGTGGGTGTCAGCCGCCCGGGACGGAGGAAAATTTCGCCCCCCTTATTTAGGTATCTCAATTTAAAAGACTAAAATTCAGTTTCGTCACAGAATAAGTAATGAAAAATTCCGTGCAAGTGTTGCCACCTTATTAAAATCGCTGACCCGGACGGTAGGTGAGGTTTGTTCGAATAGAAGTTCCTGACGCATGCGTATGTCATTTTGCAATGCGAAGAATAATGTGTAGTGCACGCCGGTTCTAAGCTAGTTACAGGTAGCGACTAGGGAGACTTGGGTAGGAGTAACGTATGACTTAGCTATATTGGATATTGGAGGTGTGTATATATATATATATATATATATATACGAATAAATCGTACAAGAAAAAAAAAAGGTCAACAGGTCGCGCACGATATCCCCGGACTATCCGGATGGATGGTACCACTATTCCGTGCTCATTTCAATCGGTCCGAGTCGTAGGTGGACGAAAGTATGAAATAAAATGGTTCAAATTTTTACAAGATATTATTATTTATTGTGAAATTTTGCCGCACCCTAAAAAGTGCCGCCCCACTACTGATTATGTCAACCTTTCCTGCGCCATTTTTGAACGTAAATAATTTTTAATCTGTTTTAATTTTGAGAAAGATCGTTCTGCACTAACAACGGACACGGCAAGTATTAAAAGAATTCTCAATAATATTAGAACGTTTGGAAATTTTTCAATTAAATTATTTTTTCAATATAATTTAAAACTTTTATTGGTGACATTTTCTTTTTTAAAATATTTCTAACGATTAAAAGTTGAATGTATAAATTGAATGGCCTTTATCAGAATTGTTATCGACCGTCAATCCCGTATGCAAAAAGTTTTTGGAGGTCAAGAATTGTTATATCTTTTCAGTGGCGTAGCGTGGGTGTCAGCCGCCCGGGAAAAGGAAAATTTCGCCACCCCCTTATTTAGGTATCTCAATTTAAAAGAGTAAAATTCAGTTCCGTAACAGAATAAATTAATGAAAAATTCCGTGCTAGTGTTGCCACCTTTTTAAAATCGCTGATCCGGACGGCAGGTGAGGTTTGTTCGGACAGAAGTTCCTGACGCATGCGTATGCCATTTTACAATGCGAAGAATAATGTGCAGTGCATGCCGGTTCTAAATCAGTTACAGTTAGCGACTAGGGAGACTTGGGTAGGAGTAATGCAAGTAATGTAGATGACTTAACCCTATTGGATATTGGAGGTGTATATATATATACGAATAAATCGTACAAGAAAAAAAAAGGTCAACAGGTTGCGCACGATATTCCCAGACAAAATGAATAGTTCATCCGGACAGCGAGTCGATTCTAGGACTGTCCGGATGGTAACACTATTCCGTGCTCATTTCAATCGGTCCGAATCGTAGGTGCGACAAAAATATGAAATAAAATGGTTCAAATGTTTACAAGATTTTATTTATTGTGAAATTTTACGCCCCCACTACGCTATCTTTTCCCTCGTAATCTTATTGTTTCTTTTTACGCACAATTCTGATCCGAAATCTGCAGATATTTCCATCGCAATCCATAAGTTTCTAGATAGTGTTTCTGAATTCTGCCAAACGACATGTCTTGGCAGTGATTAAGATACTGCTAGTTGTTAATGTATGTCTACAATTTTTAGTTTTTCATTGGCGACATGCCTTATAAAACCAGTTCAGATATTGTGCAGTGGTTGACTGTCATCAAACCAGAGTAGTTTGAAGCTGTATGCGATGTATTGTACACGAAAACGTGATGCATCGAGATTGTCCGTGTATCAAACCGTTCGTTATATTCATTTTCACATGACGAAAATTTAAGAAAAATGAGTAACTAGTCATACAAGTACTGTACATCCAGCTAGATAAATAACTGCCATCATTATACACACAAGTCCATACAGAATGATTACTTGCAGATAGAGTTTGTGATGGCTCTACGTTTGTCATAAAGCATTTATCTCCTTATAACAATTTATTAATTAAAATTTCGCCTACTTTACCACTTGAAAAACAATTATAAGAGTAAAGACTCTTATAATTAATCATTTCTTAGTAATCATTGAATATTTTATTGAAAGTAAAGCCTAATATATCTGAATATTCCATACCTAGTCATTCTGTCGTGTCATTATTCCAGGATTTTATAGTGCTAATTGATAAAAAAATAAATTAGATTACATTCTAATTTATATAGAACTAGCTGCAAGGACCCGCTTCGCTGGGTTTTTATTTGTGGGCAAAAAGTAACGATAGTGAAGATTAAGATAATTACATTATAGCCAATCTTACCCGTTTTCACAAAATGCAAGAATTAGATCTCCCGTTTCCAGAAAATTTTTACATGAGCATAAAAATATGTTCGATTTCCCGCAAAAGCGCAAAAAACCACCTGTAAATCTTGCATGCCGCTTTATATTAACACTTCCTGGTCCCGATTCTATTTCTGAACGTCTCCTGTTCACGTCCAGTCAAACGAACTATTAGAGAGGTTGAGGCGCACGTTTTAAACGTGTACGTGCGACGTTCGGCGCCGCTTTCCCGTAAGCCTAAAAGTTTGACAATGGTGTTTGGATAGTCGGTGGAATCACGCTCGACATTCCAAACACCATCGTCAAACTTTTAGGCTTACGGGAAAGCGGCGCCGAACGTCACACGTACACGTTTAAAACGTGCGCCTCAACCTCTCTATTTTCAACGTTTCTGGAACGTTTACGATCGTTCTATAATCGAACCAATATTCGAATTTTATGTTCGAATTAAATTCGAACAAAACATTCGAAATTTGTAGAAGAAAAATGCAAAAATGTTAGGATGTAAGTAGTGACTTAATTCCATATCTATGAATATTTTGGACTACTTTATTAATTACACGGCGATATAAATACCACGTACGTAATATTTCATGATACTAATATTTCGCTGTTATCTATTGACAGCCTTTGATGTCGAGAAACAAGAGCCCAGTTTAAACGATCATGATATTGAGTAAAAAAGTTTTCTGTTAGCTGTTGATAACGGCAAACATCGTCCCAATTAATTCGATGAACATATTTTTGTATAAAATCAGGAGAGTAACGTCTGCTTTTTCAAATTTTATTCCAATTTAATTTTATGTTAGTAATGAATTTATTAACTATTTCCAAGATTGTTTTTCTTTTCAGAAATATCCCAATCAACGTTATCTTAAGTCATCTTATTACTTCTGTCAAATTTAATCTAGAGAATTCTTTCCAATCAAAATCTACATCTACTTTATGAGCTAGCATGGCTACGTTTTTGAGATCCATTACAATATGAAATGATCGACTTATTTCAGTCTTCTTCCTCCGATATTAATATGAAGAATAATTAGTTTTATTCATTGTCTTGCTTTATATAAATTTTTATGATGCAACAGACAATTTTAAAAACAAAAATTAAAATATTATTTACAATTTAGATTATTAAATAAAACATACATTTTTCGAAAATTTCGTGTCTTAGTTTTTACATTCGCATTCAAAATACATTTTCGGGTCCATATCGTGGATTATTTTTTTCAGAATCGACCTGATATTGACTACACAGTAAACATATTGAGCCAATTCAATACATGATAAAAATACACACCAGCAAGCTGCAAAATGCATGCTCCGTTACATCCAGGGCACCTCCAATCACAGGAAAACATTTAGGAAACCATTTTTGAAAACAGACAGTTTTCATAAACATTAAGGTAACATAAATTTTTCCCAATTCTATTTTGTTTGAAAAATTTCTTGTTTTTCTTAATTAGAAGAATCAATTCTGTAAAAAAAAATATATACATATATAAATTACTACTGTGTCGTTTTAAAGAAAATTTCTTGCTATAAATATAAACTAAAAATATTTTAAAAAAATCAAATCATTAAAATACAGTGATCAGATTATAAATTGTCGTCTCCCAGAGAAACAAGTTTCTCCCTGTTGATACCATTCTCCAAACACACAGCAGCTAAGGATGACCTCCTGAAAATACAGTAGAAAGCATTCTACTATATCTTTTTCTGCTGCTTAATACTGTGACCTCAGTACTGTTTGGAGATTGACAATGATAACAACAGAACAGACTCAGAGAATGGATTAAAATCACATCATTTCACTGCTTTAATTTTAAAATAAAGTTTTTATTCATAAGATAATTTTAATAAACAAATTTTTTTTGTTTGTTGAAGCCCTATATCTGTGTGAAGCCTTTGTAGACATTTGTTTGGATTCAGCACTGAAATTTCATTTTTCAACTTTTTTGGGAAATATATTTATATACTTTTCTAATGAACCCAATCCATTGTATTTTAAAAAAATTCACAAAGCCTGTAAATTTCTTTTAAATGACTGAGTTCATTTTAGTAAAATTAAATCTGATGTTAGTGCCTACCAGACAATGTTTTTGATAGCTAACTGAACCATATTCAGTTATTTCCCTTTTGGAAAAAAATATTAATTTACTAAGAATGCAACATGTAAATTATGATGTGCAACTGGATAGGGAGCATTGTCACTATTTAAAATCAGTGTCTCTTCACCTGAATACTGATAATGATTTATATTGAAAGCGATAAAATTATGTAACTATATTAAAAAAAATCCAGCAATGAGTTGCATAACTTTCCTGTCTACTATAAACCTTATTCAGAAAATATATTGTGATTAAAATTATAAAAGTTAAAACTTATAGCATATGGTCCCCACACAATTTTAAGATTGTTATAAAAAAACTGCCATTTTATAGAAATTAAAAATATAAAGCTTAATTTTGAGGGCAGGGATGAGTTTTATATTTAACTAGCTGCATAGACCCGCTTTGCTGGGTTTTTATTTGTATGTAATATAGTTTTATATATATATATATAAAAAAAAGACTGTTTTTGTAAGTAATCTAGAATGTAGCTGCAAGGACCCGCTTCGCTGGGCAAAAAGTAACAATAGTGAAGATTAAGATAATTACATTATAGCTAATCTTACCCGTTTTCACAGAATGCAAGAATTAGGTCCCCTGTTTCCAGACTAATTAGAGAATTTTTACGATTAGTCAAACGAACTATTTTCAACGTTTCTGGAACGTTTACAATAATTCTATAATCGAACCAATATTCGAATTAAATTCGAACAAAGAATACATAGATTCATACATAGAAACATAGATTCGAACAAAACGTAAATTCGAAATAGAAAGCCACTTTCAACCACTTTCAGCCTCATATCTCCCGCACCCTTATAGCTACCGAGACGCAACCACCCCTATGCACGAATGGAGACTTGGGGCTACCACCACATACAAACACCAGTCACGTGCAATGTATAGTTTTGGCGGAAAAGTGAAATATAGGGACATACATGTCCATTTTTATATATATATAACATCAATGTCACTCATATACAAGCCACCATACCAAATTTTGCTTCTTTATTCCATCCTGAGATATTAAGCAAAAATAGATGAAAAAAAAGGCAAAAAAAATTGTGCTTGCCTATTCTGAATTCAGAGATCTCTAAACATGGAGATTTGCAAAAAACACTTTCCCTTGTATATTCACTGTTTCTCCTACTTGTTTCAGTTAAGCTAGCAAGCCCTGTAAGAAGCAGAATAACCTAGTTTAGTTTCTGTATTATTTTAGTATTTGTTTGAAACCTTTAGTTTTAAGCTTTAAACTTCACTCTATGTAGCTTTTATGTAACTGCACTACTTACTGATGTAAGCTATAATTCAGATTTTCTTTTAGACCCACAGCTTTGCAGCCTAAAAACTGCAAGCCAACATTAATCATAGAGGGAATTGTAACATTATGTACAGGAATCTTTCCTATCTCTCCCTCCTCTTCCACTGACTGAACACTGTATGGCCATTGTTTTTCATAAAAATATAAATAAAATACTTTCCCTTGCTATGCTATTACATTTGGGAAATTAAAATATAGTAAACACCCAACTAACACTGGACAAATTTTTTCAAATTCGCAACTTAATAATTCTATTGCCAAGAAATTAATAAGTGTTTTCCCTTGTATATTCAAAGACTCCAACATTGTATGTTGGAGTCTTTGCAATATCATGCATTATATTAACTGTAGTCAGTTACTAAACACTATTGCTGTATATGATCAATTTTTTGAGCTCATTTCAAGTAATAAATTTAGTAGTAAAACTTCTGTATAGAAGTAATTGTAATAAATTACTTTACATCTATGTTCTTGTTTTCTATGTTGTCTAAGAAAATACTGCTAACTCAAACTTTCATCCCCTATTAGTCTGAGTTAGCAGAGTGTTTTTTTAATATTTCAATTGCAATAAAAAAATTTTTTTCCATCTATTTTGTGTTTCTTTTGAAATAATTATTGCCTCTTGAAAAATACTTGTATCAGCAGTCGATATCTAATTTGGATAGGAACTGTATGCAATTGTTTACATATAGATATTTAACAGTAGCGATAAATTTTTTGTACCAGAGTCATTTGATTTTATAGAAACTAATGGACTGGGTTGACAGGTTCACAAACCATATGTTAGAAAACCTCCATCCTGAAGATGGAGGTTTGAAGATACCTGAAGATAGTCTTAATAAATTAAGACTATCTTGACTTTATTGTTATCTGTAAACTTATTAGTCACAGCACTGCTGTTGGTTTCAATGCTACATTTTAGACTAAATAAACCAGTCACTGGTAAGTGTATCAAAGCAATGAGATTTTGTAGCAGATGACAAAAACTTTCCATAGAAAATGCATTTATTTAAATTGCAAGGATTTTACTAGTTAATAAACTCATCATTTAAATACACAAAATGAAATTTATAAAGTTGGCCCACCAGTGACCAAGCAGTTCCATTCCCTGAACACTGGCAGCCGATTGCGGACAACATTTAGAGACCAACAGTGGTTTACAGATTGGGTAGACTGCGGTTCAGAAAAATTTCATTGCAGAGATGGCATTCATTGCCTGCCACAATGTCGACAGCTATTAGAAACAAGTTATTTGACCTATTTTCTACACTCACTTGACAGCAGGTTTACAGGGATTTTCAAGTGGTAGCTTTGTTCGTGGAAATGTTTAGATAAAAACAGATATCGTTTCTTTGATAAATGTTGTAAATGGTATGAATTGACAAAATTATTCATTAATTAATTGCTTGGAACAAAAACAACAAAATTAAATATAGTAATACCTTGACTTATGGTACCCCGACTTACACAATTTTCAAATCTAGTCTATTCATCTTTTGTTTGAATGCCAAGCAACTCTCGATTACTCAATCCCCCTACACTATTGTTCGGCTTACATGTTCAGACATGTCGCGCGGAATCGACACATAGCCACAATTTATTTTGTGTTGTTCATTTCTGTGTTTATTATATTTACGGAGACTTGAGAGACTATGTGGTGATTTCTTCTAATCACGAACAAATCAAAAGACAAGATAAGATTAACGAGAACATTTATTAGCTTACATACATCCAACTTGGATTTTACACAAATTGCGAAATTATACCCCGACTTATGCGGTTATCGCTCGGTCCCACCTATTGTGTAAGTTTGGGGTATTACTGTAGTTTAAATTGTTTTAAATGTTCCAATTTCGATATTCAAATAGGTGAAGACTTAAAACTTCAAATTAATTTAAATCAGATGCATTTATTTACAATTCAAGTGTTGTGTCGGTTATAAAACGTTAATACATTTCGAAGTCATTGTACTGTTAAACAAATGAGACAATTTTAATAATTACAGAAACCTGTTTATAGATATAAAAAAAATGTAAGAATAATAATAAAATATTTTAAATTATTCATTTTGATCATTACGAAGGGCGACAGTAATAAGATGTCGAAATAATTCCTTAAAAATCTATTCCGAAGACAAATTTGGTATAAATTTTCTAAATATGGATTTTTTCATATTTTAAACCATATTGGCAACAAAATTACATATATCGAAATGGAAAAGGATTGTCATTAATTGCCAAACAATGGTTTTGACGGCCTTAAGATTTTATTTCTGGAAGCTTTTGGAATATAGCTGGTGACCATTTCTGATGTCACAAACAAATAACCTGATTGGCCAAATGATTCCTAAAACGGGAGTAATAGCAAAGTAAGTAAGAGCCAATGTTTTGCCGAAGTTCATTTAGAGAACAGTCAGAAATAGATGATCATCGTCTTTGCAACGCATTTTAAACCGTGGTTCAGCCAACCAACGTTCTGTTGATAAACGTCGTTTAACGTAAGCTCTGTCTCTGCAATTGGTTGTGGGAGTTCAGTCGTGGTTCATGCCTTGCCAGGACAGGCTGGGTGGAGTTTTTTGGGTTTCTCCACGTCTGTAACACCTGAATAGGAGCCAGTTACCCTTAAAAAGATCTCTCGGAAAGCATTCCCCCGAGGCAGATTGCCCAGTATCGTGTTGCCATGACTTAACACTATTACAGGTCAAAAGATTGGAAAAAATACAAGCAATTGCTTTAAAATTTGTTACAATAAAAAAAGGTCTATTTTTAAAGTACAATTTCATTTTATTGAGATTTAGAAGTGTTTTTGATCCATGATTTAAGCTTAATTTAAATTTTTATTCCTTTAGGTCAAATTTACCTTCCAAAATGGTGGTGCTTCGTTTCCATTAGATTAGCTACATTTTTAGTAGACATTTCCTTCTTTTATTTTTTATTTTGTTCAAGAACTACCGTGAATCAATAACTAGTGACGTTTGGCACTCGGCGGCTCCCCTCCGGGAGGAGTCAGTCTGGACCACGAACAGTCCGAAGCGCGACCATGTTGGCTACCTAAGGTAAATCTAACCTTAAAAGGATTACTGTATAATTAAAATATTATATTCACCATTTATCATAAGCCACTTATTTACTAAACTAAAATTTGGAAGACTATTACATCATTTCTACCACTTGTCCGCAAAGTTAACAACAAAGAAAAAAATCCAGCAACGGTTCGCTCAACTTCCCCGGCAACATTTAAAATTTTGGTGGCGCCATCTGTTAAATTTTATTTTAAAAACTTTTTATATTTCCAACTATTATATATATATAAGGGCCTAATTTTGGGGTGGGGATGAGTTTTATAAAAAATTGGGCACTTGTGCTGATTAGGGGGTACGGCTATTTGAGAGGTTTTCTTACATAAAATTAATCAAATCTAGACTAATTTCACTCGAATATTTCCAAAACACGTATAATTTTTTGGGAATAATCCGTATAAACTATGCTATAAACAAAAAATTGTAGGATTACTTACAGAGTATGCACTGTTCGACGACGCCATTGCTTAAGCTTTTTTTAGTTCTGTATCAGTCGATAAAGTTGCAACATCACTTTGTTAAGCTAATTTAACGGCAAGAACTGCCTACAAAAATAGAATCAAGAAAACACTAGAGCATTTTTGGAACTTGAAAATATGATTTACTTATTTCTAATTTATTTTACTATAACCCGTTAATTATAAAGAATAAATCTACTTACTTCTTTTTACGTCCGTTACTTTATCAGTAACAAAGCCACGTTTCGTCTCTGAGAGAAATGGCGCTCTTTTAAAGTAGCAACGGACAATACTCTCGACCACGAAAATAATTCAAATATTTTTCGAGTTTTTCAAGACGCAATATTTGAAATTTTACTTAATACATTTTAAACAATTTGGAATCAGCAAAATAACAAATTTTAGAACAAAATAAAAAAATACAATCAATCTAAAATCTCAATTTCAGAAATTTGAAATTTTACTTAATAGTTTTTAAACAATTTGGAATCAGCAAAATAACAAATTTTAGAACAAAATAAAAAAATACAATCAATCTAACATTTCAATTTCAATTGATTAAAAATTGTTAATTTGTATTTATTTAAGAATGTGTGTTTTTTTTGTATAAAAGTGTTTAAATTAAATAAAATAAAATTTTAAAAATTNTGCTAAATAAATATATTAATAATATTGATCCAAAAAGTTTTAAATCAAAATAGTCGTATGATTTTACGTGCTTTTATTATATATTTGCATATTCATAATTGTCAGAATAAATCGAGCCCATTATGGGTTCAACCAAATCCATAATGGGGCGGCTTGGGAGTGAAAGGACGGGGCCCGATATATCTGGACAGATCATTCTCCGAAACATCCTGGGGTTCTTCTACCCGTCCGGTCCTCCAGAGCGACAGGCTATCAAGAACCTAAGATGATCGTCATTTACTTCCTTATATGGAAATCCATATTTTAAAATTTCTGCAACGTATTTATTTTTCTCACAATTGGTTTCTGCGTAATTTATTTTTTATATATACAACATTTTAGCACTTATCTGGATTAATATGGCAGATGATCGAGCCGGATAACATTTCCTGTAGAGTCAAACACCTAGATGCGTCCAGTTGTGATTTATTTTCCAGCTGTTACTTTTATGCTACGTGTGATAATGTCTTAATACAAAATTTTCAGTAAAAGCAAGCCGATGAGACGCCTGCAATTACCATAACGCATTATTCGCGGAATAACCCAGTGGCATAACGTGGGTGTCAGTCGCCCGGGGTGGAAGAAAATTTCGCCGCCCTCAATTTAAAAATTCCGTGCTCATTTCAATCGGTCCAAATCGTAGGTGCGACAAAAATATGAAATGAAATGGTTCAAATTTTTATAAGATATTATTATTATTTATTGTGAAATTTTGCCGCCCCTTCCTCCGTCACTGAAATAACTGTATATTTTACGAAAACATTTGCGATCACATTTTTACACAATATTATTATTTAATAATACTGTGCTTTTTGTTTATATAAAGAAAACGACTAATTACACGATTAATAGTACGAAGATAGAGGCCGAGGGTATGTTCGTAAAGTCGAACGAATTAAACGGGAATGATGTCATCGTTATTCTTATTTCGTTAGACTTTTCGACCGATTCGTTTATAACTAAATGGCTGTTTCTAAAATCGAAGATATGAATGTTGCTAGTGCAGCCTTATCTGAAATATTTTTCTTGGATTGCTTTGGGTAGACAGTTATTTCTATCATTTCACCTTTTAATTCACAATTTAAACAATCGAGTAGATTTAGGGTGCGTTTACTTCTGAGTTAATTTTACTGTCGGCATTTTACCGTATACTTTCGTCCGAGTGCCGCGCTTGTTGGCGTTTATATTAAAGTTGTGTGACACCATTTTTAACAGAATTAGTAAGCTCGGAGTGCTAGCTATTTCGCTGTTGAGCTTTGCGCTAATTCAATATGGCTGCTCGGAATAAGTCGGGCGCGTTGTTTATGATTAAAAGTGAAGTTTACCTTATACACGTTTGGAATCTTCAGAAATTTACAGCATTAAATAAATCGTAAAGAAATGAACAGCATTAATAATAATTTAAAATTATAGTACATAAGTTTGTATACTTGAATACTTATACTTGAAGCTGTATTTAACAAAAAAAAACCATAAAAACTATTTTCATAAAATCTTTTTATGAAATACTAGCTTACCCGTCGCGCAATGCTGCGATCTCAGAAGAAAGGAAATTCGTTATGATAAAATTCAATTTACATTTTATTATTTTTATTGAAACTTATTATTATTATTCATTTTCATCGGGAAAACATTTCAAAGTGTCGTTTCAATTCTATTTATTTATTGGAGTGTTTGTGGATACACGATATTTTTTGTTTTTCCCTCTGGTGTGTACACGAATAAATCGGAAGGTTTTTCGACGCGTGAGCCGGCCACATACAGTTGTCCATGCGAGAAGCACGGATTCTCCAAATTTAGCCCACACACTCGC